GGGCTTTGATGTTCATGGTCAGGATCATTTACGTCCGTTTTGGGGGTGGAAACAAATGAAGGGGTGTTGTGCAAAGACGATAGCAGACTTGGAAAGGAGAAAGATGGAGATTGGGGGAGGGTGCTGCTGTGAGTCGGCAAGAGAGGGTTGAGTAACGGAGGAAGAATGCAGCAGGCATGTATTCGTGAGGGGGGACATGGAGTGGGAGGTGAACACATTTCAGATACCCTTTGGCAAAGGGGATTCCCACTGGTGTTATATTTCTGGCACCAAACACCTCGGAAAACATCTTTGATAGAAACTTGAATGACTTCAGAAATAGCCTGTCGAGTTTGCTTCAGTGTTGGTGCTAATTCAACTAAGACAAGCAGGCCTGTATCTTTGCATTGACTACAATCAAGAGCGAAGTAATGACAAACTCTTCTCCTCTGTACCCTGCAGACGTCAGACAGTGACCAGCACCCCCTGCTGGATAGAACTGCATCTCAACGGCCCTTTGCAGTGGCTGGACAAGGTTCTCACACAGATGGGCTCTCCCAGCATCCACTGTTCCAGTGTGTCCTAGGAGCACCACACGCTTCCCCTCCACACAAACACGTATCCACAAACCACATAGGAAATGTCGAGCATCCCTCAGTGATAATAAGGAAGGAGACACTATTCATCAAATCAAAAGATCACTCTCCTCCCTCGCTGTCTGTAACATTTCCCCTCACATCTATAGCACTTTCCTCAGTACCACTTAGTGTCTCCATTTGATGGTTATTTTAGGACTTTTACATTGTTTTGTTTTCATGTGTTCAACGGGCAGCCACAGGGTATTTGCAATAGGACGAACCACATTTTCTTCATTATTCATTCAGACATCATGACTATGCTCAGTGTTGTCATTGATGGAAATGTTTGTTTCCCAGGTTGAAGTTAAAGCACAGTTTCAGCTTGGTCACCTTTAACATGTTTCAAAACATTTTTGATTCTATGAATTAGCTGAAACGTGCTGTCATCACTGGTGTTTCAGCGTCCCAGAACCACTCTGTGTGATCACTGAATTAGGCTTATTTATCAATTGAACCATGAATTAACATGAAAAATGTCATTCTGAGTGGTGATTAAATAGAATATATTTAATTAATATCTTAAGTACAGCGTACTTTGCCCATAAATGTCAATTATCTGATTGATCATGTAATTGGTATTTTATCTATTTTAAAAAATATAGACATTAGCACCCTTGTTTCTTGAAAAGAACCCTTGTATGAAAACTATTTTGCTCAGTGAAAGAGACATTTTCTAAGTTATTTTTGCATACTGTCCTGCATGGGAATATATTTTTTTTATTGCCTCGATATGATTGTACATAAATATTTATAGCTTGTGATTTCTTGTAGTCATGCAGTGCTTGAAACAGTGGACCCAACTGACCTGCATGAGTAGATTCACAGAAAGACGTGGCCGGCTTCGATGCAGGCTTTTCTGACGCGGGTCAAGTTAAGTGTGGCGCATAGAATTACTGCACCAACTATTACTGTTATAGGGACAAAGAGTACGACGTACAGTGTGAGTGGTCATAGGGAACTGGTTGAATTAAGGCACCCATGTGATTTCAGTGTGAAGGGTGCTCCATGGCAGTGGCTCAGCCATCGATGGCTTAAAGGGTAAAAACATAAATGCAACTCTCGTCACATATTACCAACTGGTAGCCAATAGTACACTCTGCTCCTTGTGGGTAAATGATGCACTTCCAACTGACTGTGTTGATCAGTGCAATGCTTTAGTTCTAGTAATTGCTTGTCTAGTAAATACTGTATATTACATGTACATTGCTACAGTATAAGGCATGTGTAATAAGCTCGCTGTCATTGCCGATGAAGCCACCGTGTTTATCCTGTACTTAAGACCAAGTCACCATGTAATCTATTTAAAACAGTTACAAGGTGCCTAACTGAAATACTGTGTACTACAGTGGTGGGTATAGTTGCTAGTTCTGTATCAGTACTTGAGTTCCTTGATGTTCTTAGTTTTCTGTTCAAAGTCTTATGTACATGTATTTTTTTGCCATGTAGCATATTATTTGTTCTCAAATTGTTGTTTGAAAATTTAAGGAGTTGCAACTGAGTAAAATTATTTAAAGTAATTTTTTTGAAACCATGACTCACCAGTACAGTGACAGGAAAAATAGAAATCCCTTTTACAGGAATGCAGTCCAATGTTAGTCCTGTAATTAATGTGACCATTGTAAAGCTAGCGTGGCTGTACTTTATGGTATTTTGTTTTATTTCTGCTGCTCCACAAACGCAAAGGAGACAAAACATTTCAAACACTTCAGTATAATGTCCAATACAGCACACGACTGATCCTTTTATTGCAGAGATTCTCCATTGCAGCATACAGGTGTGTATCTTTCTGGTCTGCATACTTTTCTTAATAAGCACTAGATCACCTGCATGTACTCGTGTAGTGCAACAGTCTTGTGTTCACAACAAATGCACCACACACACACACAAAGGAGCATTAAAAAAAATGAAATCACAAGTCTTTATGTTGATTCAACAGAATGTGCATTAAACGTCTTACAACTCTTACAGGGATAAGGCACATATCACTTTCAAATATATGTGACAATTGTACCTAAAGGACATAATTAAATTAAAGCCCACATAATTGTTTAGTTTTTTCACCTGCAACACCATGTGTTGCGGTTCACTCGGGGCTCACAGAGAGAGAGGGACCCAGGGGATCACTAATCTCCCCAATCAAAATGCTCAACGGCTTCTCACTAGACACCAGTATTGCAATCATTTCATTTTTAAAAATCAAAGGTTTCTAAATATGACTATGCCTACAGTACCATCTGTAAGCATCGCCACTTTCCAGGTGAAAGAAGCATGTCCAAGGGCGCCGGATCTTGTGGGAGCCCCAGGAAAAGGAGGAGGGCCAGGAGAAAAGAGACTTGAGTCACAGGTATGTGCTTTTAGCTTTCCTCTCCCGATGACAACCCGTCTATCTCATCATCGTCACCACCAATGGCCATCCAAAATGCTTTCGCTACCTGGAAAGTAGATTTCGTGTAAATACTCGATACTAGACTTTAAACATGTTTTACCCACACAACTTATTGACTAACAAGGAGGCGAAGACAATGTTATTAGTTTGTGATGCACTGTTCATACAGGTCCTTGGTGTCTTGTAACCAGGGGTAAATACAGTCGCTTACCTTCTCTGCATGAACCTTTCTCTGCTCATGAGGTAATGAAGAAGCTTTGTCTGCAGGTTGAAAATCGAAAAAAAACCAAAAACATCATAAATGTTATCAGCTGTAAAAGTAAAAAATGGCCAAAACACAGTTTTTGCCGACAAAGTTGTGCGTTCCCTTTTCATTCCCCAATTACCTTTCATCTCTTTTAATTTGGTAAAGAGACGTTCAAAGTTATCCACATCTGCATCTCCAGCCGTGAGGTTGGCGAGTTCCTGAATGTCCAAATCAGTCATTGCATCTGAGGGAATGAACACAAGTGAGCATTATCAAGAGATTCATGTTTCGGGTGAACATACTTAATCCGTTATTGTTAGCAAAAAAATGATTTTTATCAAGGGTTGTTCACTTACCAACAACTGGGTCTCCCTGTGTGCGTGTGTTTGCACTACTCTCTGTATTGTTAGTCTCCTCACTCACACGTGAGGCCTCTACTGGCACACTGGAAGACTGCCACAGAAAAGGAGCTAGTGTTAGCATGCCTCGTCAAACACTGGCACATTTATATGAAAACGGATTGATGATACACGAGAATGAAGTAACAACACATCAAAAAACAAAACTATAAAATTAAATTATGATTTAAGTAAGTGAAAATGATCACAACAAAATTGCAACTGACCTGTGGATCTTGACAGCTGTGTGGGTTGTTGTGTCTGGCGGCAACCAAACTGCTCATCAGACCGAAGCCCTGATTGTGCCCTATCAGATAGAGATATACTCTGTCACATACCATTCATGCACAGAGCTAAATGAAATAAGTCAGGGGAAAGTGCAGGAGGTAACTGTATCAGTGATGCCATCTCACCATCCTTCATCTCCACACTTGTCCACACGTTGGCATTGAGAGCCTGGACAATTCTCTTTACTCCTGTGGATTCTGGAAAGTCATCTGATAAGGCAACAAAGACAGTGTGAACGAGTACAAAACAATGGATAATATAAAGAATGAAAATATAACTGTATGCCGTGTCATTTGAATGTCTGCTGTCTGTAAAACTCACCATCCTCATCTGGCAACTCCTGTGGATTGAGCTCCACCAGCTCGAAGGCATGAGCCAAACACCACTGTTGTGCTTCATGTCTGCTGACCCCTTGAAAACAAAATTGAATTTCAGACGCCATATAATTTAGTACCCTTCAATGTCGTATTCAAGTGCTTTGTGCAAGCTAGCAGACACCATTAAGAGCAGGGGGACTAACCATTTTCACTGACTCTTTCACACACCAGAATGAGCACCTCTGGAGCAAGATCTTCCACCACTGATATCCAAGGAAGTAGCTTTTCCAGACCATCCTTCTGCAAACACCATGCACATGCAATACACATTAATCACAGTGAATCACTGTTGAGACTCTCAAACCACAGCATATTCTTAGGTCACGTACCACTGTGCTGTCAAAATAAGCGATGAAAGCCTGCATGGACTGGGCAATCTCCGATGACATGTGAAAAGTGTTCGGCACAACGCATAGCCTGACGTCCGCTGTATAATATTTGTTGTTGATGGTCCATGGATACCAGGCTACTGTTTCTTCTTGTTTGATCGGCTCAGGCAAAGTCTTCGAACTGAGGATCTCTGAGGCAAGAACACGTTTGTTATAACCCACACATACAAAGAGAGACATTACGTTAGTGTAAGTTAATCAACGCTAGCTGCTGAAATAAGAAGCACGTGACCCCCTTCAGCCTTACCTTTGTCGTTTTTATACCTGCCCCACAAAAACAATGCATCACTAACTAGCTTGACAACCTCGGACAGCGTTGTTGTCGACCTATATTAACAATATGCATGCGCTACCAAATGTCACCTGTTGTGCTAAGAGTAAGTTAGCTTTATTCAGCGTTAGCCTGTTTGCCAAATCATGGACGTTGAGTTCAGCTAAACTTACGTTTTATCAGCTCTTCTTCTTTAAAACCACCGTCACAGCTCGTGATGAGCACACATGGAGTAGGCAGCTCCGTGTCCTCTTCTGTATTTGACATTTTTTATAATAAATAGGACAAGCTTCTTCTCCTGCTAGCTTGACGTGACGTTGATGACCTTTCAACTCTGAGCCGCTGCGACGGTCTCTTCCGGTGCAGCATTAGCTAGTCTGAAGCCGAAGAAACAGGGCTCAGAGCTTATTTAATAATTTATTTCGATACATTTATGTGCATTTACATCAGGTAATGTATTCTCGTAATATAGATACTAAAATCTACTTTGTGTATATGCATAGACTGTGTAAATACGTCAACATAGACAATCAATGCGCTTCCTGTACTGAACCCTTTCAGAGGAATAGGACATTAGAATGCCCTGAACTTATCTTTCAGGCAAAGCGTCTCCCCAAAAGCCCAACCAATAAATTATATGAGTATATGTTAAATTATAGAGTATATGTTAACGTTAATGGCTAGAGTAAGATTACATTTGTGACTTAGTTGGATTTTTCCCTGTGACTATTCAAACGAAAGTTGGCCAGTGGTGTTGGTTTTAAACACAGACGGACGTACTGCCCGACAGTTCATACTCGGGGTAAAGTTAACACTGAAAGTTAGCTTCTCGTTGTCATGGTTGCGAGTACTGTGTGTTTGACGTTACTAGCTAACTGGTTAAAGGAGTTCACGTTAGCTATTTGATATTGTGACACATGTTTTCATATTATTACATTATTTTGGATTATTATTAACCCAATATACCATGTCTGACGAACTTAAAAACGAAGATAAGTTGGGAGCAGTTTTATTTCAGGTAATGTTGTCTACCTCAGCTAAAAACCTATTTTACTAGAAAATAGTATTAATGAAAAATATTAAGGTTAGCTAGGTTAGGCTAACTAGCTAGCTAGGTTTTGCGGATATGTTAGGGTAAACAAGTTGACTGATGTTTCATAAACTGTTAACATTTCTATTTATTTTAAACCTCATTACATTTAGATAAACTACCAATACGCAATAACAAGTGTCAAGCTTGGCTATTTTTAGGCCAGATTTCCACATTATGTAGGTTTACATCACAGAACCGTATTTTACAGGTTCAAGAGGATTTGAGACAACTCAGATGTACTCTTGTCAGTGAGAGGGGGAACACACTGGACATTCAAAGCTTGGACGCTGCCATCGGCAAGACAGAGAGAAGCATCTGGGTGAGGATGCTTCATGCAGAATAAGCACTATATACTATATATATATATATATATATATGTGTATATATATATATATATATATATGTGTATATATATATATATGTGTGTGTATATATATATATATATATATGTATGTGTGTGTGTGTGTGTGTGTAGATGTATATATTCAACATATATTATATATTCAATGTTACGTATCAGTGCTATATATATATATATATATATATATATATATATATATATTATACATTATATACACAGTTTTATATGTATTTAGTATTATACGTATTTTTTATTATTTTCATTATTTTATATACTACTACTGTAGAAGCATGCAGATGATTATCTGAAAACAGTGAATACGCAGCTGCTGGTCCTTCCAAGAATTGAAGACTTGCAAAAGAAGAAACAGATTCCCAAATGGTAAGGAAGGAGAAGCTCACATGTGTTGTTTACTGTATAATAGTTTACAGTGGTAGCACTTTCTTTTCTCCACCATCTCTTTGTTAGAACTCTTAAGAAGTATCTTCAGAATTGCATACATTATAGTGATGTGTATTGTGAGATTGAATCAGAGACATCACACAGGCAACCTGCCCTGGAGAGTATCCAAGATGTGCGTCCACAACGGAAACACATTCCAGGGGCCTCACCTGGGGAAAAGGTAGATTATTATTCATTTTGTTCAGAAACGGAAACTAATTTATTTACTTAGTAGTATAGAGTACAAGCTACAATATATACTGTACTTAGGTAAGTTAGAAATGCAACTATTCTATTGTATTACACATTAAGGCAGACCAGACAAACAGAAGTAGACGTGGTGTGGTAGAGCAGCACATGAGACAAAAATAGAACACGTTATACTTTACTGCTCAGCAGAAATATACATACATTTAAATTGTTGCTATTAACTAACTCAAGTTTTAAAACATTTCCTTTATCTGTCTTGATCAGCACAAGTCAGCATTAACCAAGTGTTTGTTGAGTAATCCTGCTCATCCAAACAACAGAGCTGTTATGCACCAGAAATGTGGGATATCACTCCCTGATGTCCACAAGAGGAGGACAAATACAGTAAGTAATCTGACTATAAATCTAGATTAATATCATTTCAGCTGTAAATTAGGAGAATAATATTGTCTATGACATGCATACTATCCATAGGAACAACACTTTACAGAGACGTTTGATTAAGTAGTTTCAAAATACAGATGGGTTTTACTCTATCTATCTATCTATCTATCTATCTATCTATCTATCTATTTTGGTTTTCTTAGTTATGGAGCAGATTTCCTCATCGTGCTTCAGTCTTACTGCTGGAAAGGACTATAATCAACTATAATAACAAACTATAATCAGAATAATATCATGTCCTCCAGCTATTTGCTTTGCACAGTGAGATTGATCTAGAGCAGAATTGATTCCTGTGTCTTGAGCCTTTGTTGATATTAATTGTAACATACAGCACATGCCTCAGGAAAGATTTGATTAGGAGGCATTACAAGAGGTTTTGCTACAACTAAGATGAATTGGATATGATTGGTCCTTTCCCTGATGCTTACTCCCTTAATCCCCATAACAGACCCTTTATGCTGGAGTAAAGAGTGATGGCACAGGTCTGCATTAATAGATGCTTCAAGTAGCAGTGACATAAAGGTCACTTGGCTCAATGATGACAGCTAGCACTTGTCACAGCAAACAAATTAGTCTTTGCAAAGGTTGGCATTAGTTTTAGATATGTTTTACACACTTTATTTTCCAATATGTTTTCGGTAATCTATACCTGACATGAGACATAACGGCCAAGACTGTCACTCTGATATAGGAGGGATGGAAGTGCTGGCTGCAGAAAGCAGAAAGCAGCAGATTGCAGCACATCAGCATTCTTCTAAAGAAACAGGCGCCTGATTGCTGTGCTATGGGCTACTGGTTTACAGCTGTCTCAGGACAGAAGTGGGTACCTGGTCCAGCATGCCAATAAGACAGCCGTAGCTTCCCCAACTGCTAACTACTGGCTCTCTGCCTGCTGCCTCCTTCTGCAACTCAGGCCAGCTCTTCTCCACTCCCTACCCATGCCAGGAAATGAGCTTTTGCATTTTAGCAATTTCACGAAAAGGTGCCACCTTTTCCCAACCCCATCTGAAACAGATGTGTGCCTTTGAGGGGATATTTTCCCAGCACCTGGCTAGTACCTGTGGTCTGTCAGAGAGATCAGTGGTCTGAGGAGAACGAAGGAGAGGACATTAGGTGACAAGTCTGGAGGATCAGCACAGCACAAACTTTGTGTTTTATGAGTAATGACACATTTGAATCTGTTTATATTAAACTAGGCCATCAAATCAACTTCTGATTTTATTACGATACAATACTATGTATTCAAATATTTACAGAATTGCTTAAAGGTGAAGATAACCTTTAATCTTTATGTCGAGTTGGATGGGTTACAGGACGGTTTACAACTTTGCCAGTTCCAGCTATGGCTGTCTTGTATTCCTAATGAATACAGAAAATATATTGTTTGTAAACATGTAGCTATCCCACTTCTCTCCTTTAAAATTATTCTGTTAGAAAGGGATTTTTTTCCTACATCACCAAGCTGGCAAGGGTCTGATTAATGGTTGGTTACCTCCGACACTTACAACAACATCGCTCAAAAAGAAAGAAACTCTCATTCAATTTAAACATGCTCAAGCTCTCCACCTGTAACTGTTTCATTCAGTTAGATGAAGCTAGGGCCGGGCTTCCTAAGCTGTTGGCAACAACTGTTTAGGGCCGGACCAGGAGATACTGGTCCAGGGTCTGGTAGTATTGCTTTGATTTCATTATTACAAGATGTACAACTTCTGATCTTATAAAAATGTTCTGTTAAGGCAAAACATCGCAGAATAATCACTGGCCCTGTGGTGAGTCTTCCAGTCACAAATAGCCTGGCAATGCCTGAAGAAGACATGGGGACAGGTAAAAATACATTTTATCACCTCAGCACCAACACCACACCTCTGTTATACTATAGACAAATGCTCATTGAGTGCACATGTCAGGTCAGCTGTTGTTTGTCCAATAGTTGTGGAATATTAACATTCTGTTTTTCGAATTATTGTCTCGTATTTTGTTTAATCTTGCCTAGTCTGAAACTTTCATGAACAAGGACAAGCCCAATGTTTTGAAAGTTGATCTTTTATTTTCTGTTTTCATCAGTGCCAAAAACAAGTTTGCTTCAAATGTCGATCCAGCACAAGGCTGCCTCTTTTCACTCCAGAGAGGATTTCTATTCTTCTAAGACAGGTCTGCTCAGTGACTCTGGTGTAGTAGGGACAGCTGCCACTTGATTTGACATTGATGACTGTTTGCCACTGATTGATCACTGACAGAGTTGAGCCTGTCTCTTTGTGACTTTTGGTCTGTTAGGCTTGAAGTCCAGGTGTCACAAGCAGCTGAAATGGGAAACAGAACCTGGATCCACCTGCGAAAGAATAGACAGGGAATGCACACCCATCTGGACCACCAAGACTCCGCCTCCCACCCCAACCTCCAGCAGCATGGACCAATGGGGTATGATGCAAGGCACCAACGGTCTTATCCCTAAAAGCCCTCATGTAAGATCACTGTAATAGTTTTAAATATATGTTAAATGAAATAGAGAAAGAGACGGTGAACAAAGATAATATTTCAATTCATTTAACTGTATTATTAAAGTCTAGGTTTCCCTGTGTTCTGTAGAATCTACCTGTGCAAGTTCCAGTAAATATCAGCAAGTACGACTTTACCATCTTAATGGGACGGACCAACCCAATGGCGACAGATTTCCGTCACTTCAAGCAGAGCTTTAGCTTGTGCTGGAGCAGTGTGGTAGATGCTCTGGAGGCCCTGGAAAAGCTGCTCAGGGACTTTGCTGTGCCTCTAGCCAAAGTGAGCGGGGAACGGCTAGTGGAGTTAAGCCATGTTTGGGA